TTAAATTCTTACCCATTAATCTTCACATAATCAGGTCTGTTGGTATCAACTCCCTTGTATCCTGGCCATCCCCTTTAGCCGTCTCGTCCCCTTCGCTCCTGTGCCCTTACCATTAATTTCTCACTTTCTTTGTTACTTCTCCTCCCTTTGTAACTCCCCTTCTCCCTGAACCACCCCGGCTGCCCTCACCTCTGTGCTTGCTGAAGGACAGGGTTTTAAATACACTGAGTTTCCTCGGAGAGGCTTGTGGCCTCGGCAGCGCTCCCCGGGCACCATCTGTTCCCAGCATCTCCTTGGCTGGTCTCAGGCTCCTGCCTGGCTTTCCTCTGCCCTCTTCCTTCCTGCCCCCCCTCCCTGCCGTCCTGGAGCATCATTTTGGAGAATTTGCTAGATCAGAGCCCGCGTAACCCCTAGTGCTTCTCAGCAGCATCCTCACCTGACCCTTCTCATCCTCTGCTCCCCTTCTCTCACGCTCATTTGTTGTCCAAAATCAAGCTGTAAGCTCCTCGGAGCAGAGCCTTTTCCTTCCAGCTGCTTCTGGCACCAAGCACAATGGTGCCTGGCTGGTATCATTAAGCTCCACAGCTGTAAATAAGAATAGTTTTGATTACACAGTTGAGGTTCTCATCTAAAATAATTTCGACAGTAGTCACGAGCAGTTATGCTGTTTACAATTCATATAATAATTTAGGACTGCGAGTTTTTAACTGTTGTATAATTTGGATTTACTTACAGTTCTCATGGGATAAAATATATTATTGAGCAAGCAAGGAATAAACTATATTCAGAGTAGCTGTAGGGTGCTATGATTTAAAGGAGAGCTGGTGGAATACTACAGGAGAAAATATGCAGGATCCATTATACTGTTAATGAATGCACAATTCAGATTGGTGATTTAATTTTGAGATCATATTTCTCTGGTACCCTCAGGTGTAACAGGCTTCATACATAAAAACTGAGTAAGATTGTATGTAATTATGCCCAGTCATGCAAAAACTGAATAATCAAAAAAAAAAAAAATTACTCTCCTCTGTTGTTTACTCATTTGCAATTAATTTTTTTAAAGTACATAGCATTCAAAGAGCACTATTAGAAGGGCACAACCATAATTGCTGGTACCAGTTTTGAACCCATGGTAGTAACCTTTGAGGTGGCTTGATATTTATCCACAGCTACAGGCTGTCGCTGTATTTAAGCCATGACTAGAGCATCATTTTTTGATCTGGCCAGGAGCTTGCTTGAAATAGTCACCATTTCCTTCCTCAGGCAAGGTGGCAGATTGGTGATATTTTAAACTCTTGGCTAAGAGACAAATCCTGAACTCCTTCTTTTTGCAAGCAGACCTGACTAATGAAAGCAAGACCTATTCCTGTAGGGTTTACACCCATGAATAATTGTCACAAACTGCATTATGTAGTGGCTTGTAGGTTTAAAAAAAATGTAATTTTTTTTTGGTCTGTTTTTTATATTGGCACGTTAATTGTAAGCTTTTTCTGCCATCCTTTTTGGGAAATGTGAACATATGTCCCAACTTTTAAAGAAGCCACGTATTACAATGGACTGCATTTTAAATCACACAACCACATCCGCAGAATGAATCTGAAAAGCTCTGAAAATACACAAAGAAGATGCAATCAAAAGAAATTCTGCCTGGCCTTCCAGGTTGTACACCTGCTATTTTAATTTATTTTTTTTTTAATCTCTTGCAGCTACAGTTTCGCTTCTTAAATGAATTTGAACAACTTGCCCAAGAGACATTCTAATCCGATCGTGTATTATGATGATACCAGTTGGATGTTATCCTATTAGGCACTCACTGTAAATAAGGGATTTTCCACTGACTTTTAAATCCTTGATTAATGAGAATGCTCGAAGCAGTGTCCTGTAAATTAGCCAGAGTGCTAGCAACAATTGCAATTCGCTTAGGTGAACTGGTTTGCTTTAAATCTTCCCATCCAAATTGGAAAGCATGAGGAAAAGATAATGTGCAGTACGTAAAACATATATCTCTATCTTGCATTATTTATCTGTACCCCATGGCTGCCTGAGACCCTTAGGTCTAAATCCTGCTCTTTGTCCAGGTGAAGTCCCATCAGTCAGGGCTCTTCTAGAGAAAGAAGTCTGGTAACTGGCCCAAAGTATTTATGTATTCTTTTTACTCTCTAGTGTTTTAGCTAATTCTTAATCCCATTTTAAATTGTGTTAAGCAGTCCAATGGCTTTCATTTGTACCTTGATCTGTACCATCTCACTTGCCTTTCACAGCTCCTTTGCCTTTTTTTTCTGATACAAGTCAGAAAGAGGGACTTGGGTTTGGGGAGAGGGGAGAATAGGGGGAGGTTGTACACATCTCCTAATTGAAACGGAGAAGGGAATTCTTCCTGACATAGTTTTATGAAGAAAACATTTTTCACATCACCTTACCGCTTCCCTTCTTATTCAAATACTGATACTTGATTTATTGCTTGCAACAAAATTAGTTTTATATCTAGTATTGACTTTGAAACATACATTATTTCCTTTAATACGCTGAGAAATTAATGAGGTCTTTCTTGTCATGCTGTCTTCACATTTATTTAAGGTGCTATTCATTTCTGTCCCTATAATATACGTGCACTTTTATCAGTCAAGAACATCCCTTTGTTCTTGTAGAAGTGTGAATGCTCTTTCCGTAGATTTGAATTAGTGTCACTTTATAAAGGCAGTTTTGACACTCCCTCTTACAAATAACTGAGCAAAGTATCTCTCATACATTAAAATACTTAACGTGTATGATTTTTCCATAGTTGTTTTCTGGTAATTTTGAATGCAGTGCATAAAAAGTAGAGTTAAAGTAAACTCTGACCATACTATCCTATATCAAGAAAAATCAGAGACGCTGCCTTAAGTCTGTAACTCTATCTGATCATTTCACCTCAGCAAGGTTGCTCATCCTTCCATGTACCGAAGCACCTTTAAACAGAACTCCACAGGTCTCACACAACATGATTTCTTGCTCTGACTGTTATGTGTGCCTATGATGCTTTCTGCTTAATGGTATTTGTGTACAATGCCCTGGTGATCAATTGGGAACTGGTCAGTATTCTGGCGGCAGGTCATAAAAGTCTACTGTCTTCTCCAGTGTTATGGGCAGGAGGAAAAATGCGACATTCTGGGTTAACTGACCAAACTGAAACTGGGAGATGCATGGTACTCTTTTGTATACTTACTAGTACTTTTTTATACTTACTAGTTGTGGTTTTTACAGCTCATTTTGGCAGTCTTGCAGATTTACAGAGTGGTTTTCCCCAGCTATAAATTGTGTCAGTTATAAAGAAAGTCCATTTTTGTCATTTTGGTGTCAAACTGTGACATAACATAGCTGTTGTCTGTAGACTTTTTGGTTATCTTCAGCAAGTTACTTCATTCTCTTACGCCTCAGTCTTCTACCTGTAAAATATAATATTATTATAATGGGCTTTTCTTTGTTATGCCTCACATATTAATGAATGTATTCCCGTATCACTTTCCCACTTCACAGAAGTGCTGAAAGCCTTGTGTTCATTAATATTCTTGAAGCGTGACAAAGAAAAGCCTATTACTGTAATATGCTTTGCTTTAAAACTTCAGTTAGAATAATAATGGCAAACAATGCTGGTTAGGGTTTGGTCATAAAATTTTTACACGTTCAGACTCAAACGGATGAAGTAAAGCTTTGATGTATTGTGATGACCTTCTCCTATACTTATGCACACACAAAAAAAAAACAGTATTTCACATTTGCCAAAATGGGTTGTATCTGTTCATTGGGATGTTTATCACTCACTCTGAAAGTGGCTTTTTGCCTTGGGATGTTTATCACTCACTCTGAAAGTGGCTTTTTGCCTATTTCCTTAGCCTCGTGTTTCAATCCCATGTAGTCTTCTTATTCTCTCCGTGTATTTCCTTCAGTGAGGTGAACACAAGCTTGAAATGGGCAGTTAGGGAGTGTCTTGCCCATAGGAGAAGCTTCTTCCTAACCTCATTAGTAACTGCTTGAGAAATGACCAGGAGCATGACAGTTTATATTTCCCTGCTATTATTTCCCCTAATAACTGTGGATGTTCTTATTACGTTTCTAAATTACTGTTCTCAGAGGTGGCTTGAGCAGAAGGGATTTCATTTTATCAGGTTCAGATTGATTGCCTCAGTGTTTCATTGAATATCTCCTTGTTGTGGCACTGTAGGAAGCGGTAGATAGGAATCCCCACTTTCTTTTCTTTCTTGTGCGTTGTATCTTACATCCCCTGGTTTGCCTCCTTGCTTTTGATGTGCTTGTTTTCTTTATACAAAGAATCATCTGATTTGGACAGATGTTCCTAGGGCCTCTCAGAAAATGGCACACTCAGGAAATACTTATTTAAGAAAATAGGATGTTTTCACTTATTTAGGAAAGGGTGATAAGGATGATATCTTCTTACACTGCATACACTTACTTTTCTCTTTCCTTGACTTTCTTTTCATTTAGTAGTTTTCTACTCAATGAGGGTTATGTTTGTGTCTTTTCCCTTTTTTTTGGCTCTATATCTGAGAAAGCAAGTGCAGTTAATGGGGAAGAACATCCCTACATTTCTGATAGTTCTAACAGCTGCAGGGACTTCGAGATTTTGATTTGCTTTTGTAATGCTCTCAGTGTTTTCAGCAATATGATAGTAGAGATACTGGAGATAAAGAGGGAAGACCAGTAGCACCAATATACATATTCTATCCTTCTGCTTTCTATTCTTATTGCAAAAAAATATTAAAATGTTTAAGTGCCTTCACTGGGTATCTAACACAGTTCTTCTAAAAGCTGACAAGTGCGAATTGAAAAGCAAAGTCCCATTAATACAGAGCTGGCGAGTGTCACTGTGCCATTAAATACTAAGTCTGGAATGCTCTGAGCCTTGCATAAATCTGTGCAATAAAAAAGATGCCAGTGAGAATCTTACAACATGTTCAGCCAATTAAAATATATCTATTTGACTTTTCTTTTCTTTGCAGACCACAGATGACATCCTGGTGGCCTCGGCTGAATGTCCTAGCGATGATGAGGACATCGATCCCTGTGAGCCGAGCTCAGGTGGGTTAGGTTAGTCAACTTTTTTATTACTTTTATTTCATATTTGCATGCTTCAATCCCCAGAATCCTATTTAGTGGGACCATATTGATAGTTGTGATCTGAGTGAGGTTATAGCTCAAGCGAGGACCTGAGGTTGGACTGGGAAGGTCATTCTGGGACCCCTGCAACTGTGTTGTTGTGATAAAGAAGATAAACTTAATTTAGGAGAAAGCTTGTTACTTAAGCGTTTCCCCCAAATAAGATAAAAGTACAGTATTTCAAGGGTCATATTATCTCAGTAGTAGAAGCAGAGTTCATTTTGAATTACTGTTTATGGGATGAAATACTGAAGACATAGAATACAGCAGTCTCAATTTTCAAATCATTTTATGGCTTTTTTCCAAGCCAAGACTATTCAGAGCGTTGGTTTCAGTTCTGAATAGAAATGAAAAACTTTTACAGTCTACTATTTTCCCTGGAAAAAAATTTTGTAGTGTTTTTGCCATGTCTTCCGTACTCCCACTAAATAATGGAGATTTGGTACTAATTTTTCTCTCTGATATGATTTCTCTACTTATCTTCATGTTCAGTTAAGTACTACATATTTTCTCTAAAACTGGAAATGCTTACCATGGATGTGAAAGGAGAGCAAAACTTCGTAATGTGAAGAATTATGTTGCTCTATAACCTTTAAAAAATCCCAAATGTCAAAGGAACTACTGCTTTCTTTGTTGGCATGGGTTAGCTTTTACCTTTTCTTGGTACCAAATATATCTCACTTTTTCTTATTCTCTTGAATTCTGTTCTATTGGGTAGGACACCTGCTGTCAGGTGTTTTAGATAATATGGTAGTATTCGGTGCTTGCCATAATAGTTAATAGTAAAGCAATTAGGATAAATTTGTTGTGTACTGCCATATGTAGTTTAAGTAGAAATCAATGAAATTTAAGACTGAGGTGTATATAAATGCAAATCAAAACTAAGGCATCTTAGTACAACACCCAAATTGGGGAGCAGGGAATATGTCTAAGGAAATTTGCCTTAAACAAATGTGATTTTGCTTCAAATGCAGATGCATGGTTCCTTTTTGAAGTCACATAACCTAATACACCTGCAAAAATTATTTATTTAAATTTAAGTAAAGATAGAGACGTTTATGACTTATCTCAGTGTTTGATGAACTTGGTCTTCCAGGAACCAAGATATTTATAGAGTTGGGAGAACACTTGGAGTTGGTTTCTTATGGTTTCCAATAAAAGAATTTCAGAGTGTTTTTCAAAATGCCATGAGATGGAACAACCATTCTTAAAACTGAGCAACAAGAGATACACCCACCTTACACGTTTTTTATATCTCTCAGGAAGACATTTCACTTGCAGAAATCCCAGACATCATGAGCAAGCTATTTAGGAATTGTGATAGGAATCCATTTTTTGAAAGTTTGAAAATTAATTTCCAGGATCTTTTTTTTCTGCTCTTCCCTGCTCATTTTCAAATTCTTGAGTTCAACAAGACTGTCTTGTCCAGTGCCATTCAATGCAGTAGTTCATGTGGCTCTGAACTCATGCACGCCAAGCGCTACCTTGCTTTAGTTAACTCAGGCAGTGCTGTTTCATAGGCAAATTGACATTTATCTACGTTAAATGTAGATAATTTTAATAATTTTTAAAAATTTATAAGGCAACTGTAAAACACTACATTAGTTACCTAGCGCTAAAAATTTTTCCCAAGCCCTCTTCAAATGTATTAGGATGTATTAGAAATGTAATTTCTAATTTCTAACCCCCTCAGCTCTGGGGCTGCGGCGCTCGGCGGTCCTGGGGCCACACACACTCCTTTAGCTGGTGGGGGCTGGAATGGGAGGGGTGGAATGAAGCTTTTTGACAGGTTATCATTTCTGTCCAAACTGTGGTCCAGAAGGGGAATGGGAACGTTAGTCTTCCTGCAAAACCTCGCCATTAGCTTTATGTCCTGGTGTTCAGCTTTCCTGTTTTAGCTTTCCATCCCCCAGCTACACTTCTTATTTTTGTTTATTCGAGAACGGTTTTACTGTTTCATTTTTTGGAGCCCAACTGCTACTGCTTTTTAAAAAAAGTTTGGATTGGCACAGGAATTATGTTCTCTGTATTCCCAATTGTCTGGATCATTTTATCTGTCATTCTTCACATCAAAATGTCACTTGTCCTCCCACTCTCAACTCTTAAAAGCTATTAATTTGCTTCCCTCTTCGTTGGCCTTGTCCTTTTCTTATATTTGAAATAACATGAAGCAAAAGTGTTACCGAAGTCATAACTTCTAGTGCATCTGTCTCTCTCTAAGCTGAGTCCTAGTCACTTAGTCTTACGAATAAGCTCTGTCCATGAGTGGTCCTGTAGGCACTGCTGCTGCTCCCTCTCAATAATACTGCAGTCTCCATCTGGCTTGGAGCTACTCCTAAACAGTCGGCTGGAACTTCAGAGAGAAAAGCATAATGTTGTTGACAGTGACAGATTAATGATTTTTTACCTTTTTAATTTGAGACAGGACATGCAAAAGGATACGTCCCTCTATTTGAATTCTTCCCATGGCTCAGTTCAGCTTTTTTCCCCGTAACCCTTTCCACAAACCAGAGTTGCTTCTCCACACCCTCACTGATGCTGGTGAAGCTTAATGTTTCCTAACAGATACTCCTAGGAGGCAAAAGATGTGATTATCAGGACCACCTTACTGTGTTTGCACTTCAGAGGCCGTAGCCTGAGATCCCATTAGATTTCTTCTCTTGCTGCCTGGTGGTCAGTCAGCAAAAGGATCCACCCCAGCACCAGAGATGACGCTCTCAGGTCAACATTTTTCATTCAAGGGATGGCCAGAGCCCTTCAGTTTTATTGGCAGAGCCATAACTGTCTGTTTCCATCATGGTTGCCCATAATATGCCTATTTCTAACCAAAGTTCTCAGCTCAAAACGAGAGCCTATTCAACAGGCAGTTTGAATACAGTAAACCTATAAATCATCGAAAATACCGCTTAGCTAGAGTTTTACTGATTAGCAAGATTTATGCTTAAAATAGAGCTTATTTTCTAGGGTAAATATGTTGCAGTTTGTAGTGGCTAACAAGTCTCGGTCTGCCACCACCAGCTTCGCTTTCTGTGCACCTGTCTCCTAAATAATAAATGGAAAGATGCAATTTGCAACAAATTTCATACGGGACATAAAAACGTAGACCAGATTAGGAGCTGCTAAGCAGCAATCCCATCAACTTGTCTGGAACATAAAGTCACAAAAATTATAATTGCAGATTTCATTGTGGTATACAAACTGCTAAATGCGCCTTAATTGGATGAAGTCATAACAAATTTATTAGCATGCAAAATTTAGTCAACATATTTTGTTTGTGTTATTTTTTGTATAGTAAGGCAACACGTATTGCTTTCACAGTCTCTCCAGATTCCTCTCTCCCACTCTAAATACTAATAACAATATGAAGAATGATGATGATGATAATAATTCCTCTCTCCCACTCTAAATACTAATAACAATATGAAGAATGATGATGATGATGATAATATTTATTTATGTTTCCTCAGCTTCACGTCATACGGGGAAAAAATAAAGCCATTTCATTTTGTAGACCAGTTATGAAAAATGTTAGTGGCAACCTATCAAAAAAAAAAAAAGGACCTGGGATAATTCACTAATTTTATGTGAAGGGTTATAAAACTGCAGGTGGACCAATTGCCATTCTGCACATCAGGGCTGCTGTTCCAGCCTTTCCTGGGCTCTCTACAGGGCTCTGATTTCTGCTGAGTGTCAATGAGCATTTGTGCTACACAGCTTATTTGTTCCTGTTACACTGGGCTGGTATTTTATTTGTTAGCTATTATCTAGCTGCTTCTGTAGCTATTGAAATGTTCCAAAACACAGAGAGGTCCAGACTGGGTCAAGTGAAGTGAAATCATTGAGTTTAATGGCAGGGAAATCTAGACCAGGGAAGTGAGCCTTACAGTTTTTAGCATATGCACAGTTCTTTTCTTGCAAATCACAGTTAAATCCTTCTCAAACTCAGGACTTGAAATAACTTTAAATTACAATTTAGGTTAAAAACCTTTCCTGGTGGCCCCAGCAGAAGTGGGAGGGATAGAAGTTTTGGCAGTCTTAAAGGAAGAATATATGGTATTCAGTGGGAATATATGGTATTCAGTGGGAATATATAGTATATCAGTGGGAAAAACTTATTGGGAAGTTTTAAGACAACGTTCAAAGTGAAAAAATGGTCTTGTAAAAACAAGATTTTTCAAACAAGTGTCTTTGTACCAACAGAATTTCACTCGTTGCAACCAAATAAAATACTTCATCATCTCTTGATCAGCGTTTGTCTGGCAGCTCTTGGATTCCACTTCCCAGGACAGAGTTAGATTGGTATCAGATCTTGTCCTGCACTTGTTCTGTCAGGCGAGAAGATAAAATTAGTCAGGACAGAGTTCAGTGGTGGGTACCAGCTGGTAGCATTAGTTACCTTGCTTAGCCCTGATTCTTGATTCCGAGGGAGAAATGGGATCAGTTCTTTCCCTGTTTTATTAAGGACGCACTAATAAAATGATAGCTGCTTAGGGACTGATCTTTGAGCATGTGTTGATTTTCCTATGTCTTGGTGAGGCTCATTGCACTGCAGAAGACAGAGAGCAAACAGGCCACTGCTTGAGGTGACTAGGATGGCTAGGAATGGCCAGGAACCCTACATTCCCAAACACTTTATGCTGGTTTGGGTTTGGTCTCAGAATTGATAACCTATTCTCCTAATGGGCAGAGCTGTGAAATGCAGACTGTGAATGATTTATGCTCATTGTCAGAAGTTTTGCTCTTCTTTTCCTGTCACCAATTATTCCACTGCATTCCTGGCGTGTCTGGCAGCAAGATGGCATTGCAGTAGGAGGTGAAGAGACTCCTATAATTTATACATCACTGCAAGTGCCCTGTTTAATGCACTTCATGGAATTCTTTGCGCAAGGAGCTGAAACCAAGAAAAATAAAATTACAGTTAGTTCATAGGG